TGATTCATGAATGAACATACCCAAATTCCTTGTTAAGACTTTTGGCAATAGCCGTATCTGCTTTACCACCCCCATATCTTTTTTTGAAGTCAGCTCTCACTCGTTCTAAAAATGCAATCGATATCTGCTTGCCAACAGAGTCTTTGGCAACAACACAGTATGCTGCAAATTCCATAGAACACGAGATAACAGGTTTGACACCAAAAACCCTTCCCCAAAAGAAATTTCACAGATTGAAATTATTTTGATTTGGGCACACACATAGATGCATCAACAGACTACAGAACATAACAGATTGTACTACTAATTCGTTAACATGCATTTCATACATAAGCTAAGACTATCTCCAGCATACTGTCTAGTCTTAATACTGATATAATTTAAAGTCACATACAACATTTATTGAACCGAACATTTGTATGCAAACAGTATTAGCATGAAACATAATAAAAGAAACATAAAGATGTTGAAATGACTCAACCCCAAGCTTGTGCTTTGCTTAGTTGAGCTCACAGGTAATCTCAACGGCCAACTAATATGCACAAGGCTAGAAAAGATACAACATTTTGCCTTTTTAGTTTAAAGAAGGCCAAAAGCCTAGATTTGAGAGTCCAACTCTCAGTGCAGGTGCTCTTACCAACTAAGCTATGAGCCTCCCCGAACTGATGCTAAATTTGATTGAGTCATACAATAGCTACCTATTTTCATAAAGTGAGGGGTCCAAAATAAGGGGCAGTCAATTAAATTCTGGGTTGCATCCTAAGGAAGTGCATGGTGTAACGCGGAGGTACAGGTTCCACTACTAAATGAACGAAAACGATGAAATGTGATACCAATCCACTGTTCCTCTTCTTTTCAAAGTGAAATAAATAATTCAAAACACCAGTTGAATGAATTTTCAGCATCTCAATGCCGAAGAGCGTTGATCACATTTACTATTATTCAAATGGTATTTAAAGTACTTCCTTCTTCGTCATCTAATATTTATGCAAATATCATCAAGTTCCTTCCTTTTCAACAATGCAACCTACTCTGCTCACCAATACTCACCTGATTTCCAAGCCTAGTCAATTGAGCTAAATGCCAAGTCTTCTAAATTGTTGAAAACCACAACAAAACAAGACTAAAAATTCGAACTTCTTTCGTTTTTCCACAGATTTTCTCAGCAACCAAACAGCTAAAAACTCAAACTTTACCAAAATCTCCGAAAACCAAGCAAACCCCAGTTCAAAAAGCTCACTAGTTTCCAACTTCCCACTACAAACCAAGTAAAACAGATCATAAATCCTCACATTTCTCTGTTTCACATTAGATCCAGCTACTCCCGCATGCAATTCAAGCTCCCGTACTGTTTGTTTCCCGGGAAAACGAAAGAAAATCAAACAAAAACAGAAAGCAAAGAGATCAGTCAGCTGGAACCGAATCGAACCACGCACCGTATCCGTCCTCGACGAGGAAATTGAAGGTGTGGTGATCGCAGTTGTAGGTGAACTTGTTATTGGAGGAAGGCAGTTTCTGGAGACACTGCGCCGCAATCGCCGGGAAGTTGCCGGTGAACTCAGTGTACTCGGCCAGGATCATCGTGCCTCTGGCCACAAAGCTGTAGATGAACGATTCCTGACTCATTTTCTTGCTTCGAGTTGGCGAGTCAGCTCGCACGGCGGTGTGGAAGCAGCAGTAGCAGACAAATCGAAGGCTCTGGTTGGTTCTGTTTCTTTGTAATTAAGTCACTAAAACAGTGGAGCCTCTCTGAAATATCTGGAATTATTTATTATTTTAATTAAATTTAATTGACGGGGGTGCTGTTTTGGCACCGGTGATGTTAATCTAATGATTATTAAGTGTGATTAAAGTGTGTTTAAGAAAATGATTATTGTTGGACTGAAAGTCGTAAAGCGTCTCTCCTGCTTTCACCGGTGAAGAGTTGAATTGGCGGTAATGCCCCTATTTAGGCGCAAGTGGACGCTGTGGACTGCAACACAATTCTCTATCCATGGCTGCAGTGGAGGATATTTTGGCAATTTCAAGAGATTAGACAAATCAATTTTAGACAAAAAATAAAATTAAAGGTGGCAGCATTAGTGTGAAAATCAATAAATAAGCTCGAGAAATAACCAAACAAAAACAGTCAAAGTTGTCGAAAGCTAAGAAAAGTCCACCCATCCTTGGATGGCAAGGGCAAGAAAATTGCCCAAAACCCACCAAATGTGGCCAGGGCGTACGCCTGGCAAATAGGTCATATTTTTCATGTTTCATGTCGTTTTTGTATAATATTTGTTATCTTATTGGATCGTGTTGTATCACACTCGTTATCTTAACAGGTTTGGTTATTTTACTTAACAAGTAAAATAACCCGACCCATTATGACAAGTTAAAAACAATTTTTCTTCTTCTTTAATTTGCACATACCACATTGTCACATAAATATTACTTCAAAACATAAAAACACATTTGTCGTTAAGTACTACATCTACACTCCAAAATAATAGCCTAATAAAAAAAGCATCAATACACTACTAGTCTACTACAAATATCAAATGTGCAATGATATGCAAAATGAATGAGTTTTTCTTTTCAAGCTTGTGAAGCCTTTCTCAGAAGTTAAAAAATCTTGCCAATGAAACTCAAAACTTGCATGTTATTCCTTTTACAAAATCCTTCAATTTTCATCGATCATCATGGAGAAATTGTATTGAAAGTTTGGCTTGATCTATTGCCTTCAAGAGTTATGTTGATGATGTTTTTAGTAAGGTTTTCCATATCAGAAATCTCTTCCGCATAAACTAAGATAGAAAAACCAAATATTATAAACCATTCAAATTATGAGACGTTTACCAAAATAATTATGAAAAGAAATAAAACAATAGTTGTATACCATATAAAAATATATTACTTCCTTTTCCAAAGAGCCAATCTTGTGTACACAACAAAGCTTGATTGCGTGTGGTATTCTTGTGGCTGCGTAGTCGAGTCAAAGAAAGTGGCCAGAGGAGGATGCGAGAGGGAATAGCAGATTTGAGGATAGCGACGTTGAGTGTTGAAGTCTGGAGAGATCAAGAGTGAATGAGAGAGGAGGATAGTCTGGGCTCCAACCTAATGTACAATGTATGGTTGAGATTAAATCTCAACCGATCCAATAGTCATCAATTTTCTAAATTTAATAATATATATATATATATATATATATATAAACACCACTTCCCGTCCGACTTGCATATGTTAAGCATGCCGCCAACGTTCATCATGAGCCAGGATCGAACTCTCCATAAGATTAATTAAGAACGGTGTCCATGTACTGCCTCAACAACAATACAAATAATAGAATCATATATTGATTATATATATAATTCTTATAGGATTTTTTAGTGGTATAAAATTATAAAATTAATATTTTGCTTATCGTGTATCAGGTTACCCACGCTTATACTTTGACCAACATGTTATCTTAATAGGTGTTTATCGGGTTACTTGATTCGTTATCGTATCGACCCGATAACTTGTTAATTTCGTGTCGTTTTGCGTCGAGTTAACGGGTTGTGTCATAAATTGTCAAGCCTACTCGGGCGGCCCAAAATGAAGAAGGCAATTAGTAGGCTACACGAAGCTTGTCGGACTGCCAAGCCAACAAATGTTAGGTCTTGCGCCTGTTGGCAATGGACGGCGTTGGTGCTGACATCACTGAGTAGACAAAAAAGGCCCCTACGTGCGCACCATAGAGCCCAACATGCCTCAACTATTGGATTTACAATGGTCTAATGCTTTGGACTGTTGGATTTCTAACTGTAAAAGAAATTTGAATTTGATCGTTATGCCGCGAGCATGGTCTAAAATATCCATAATATCCCGATATTTCCATCGAAATTTTCGTGTTTTTGGACTACCTATATTTCCGATATCATCGATATTTTAGACCTTGCTAAGTCACTCATGTATCTTACCATGCAATGTATAAAGTGTAAAATATTATACTAATTCATTATATATAAATGATCATGGTATGTTTAAACTTCTTTAATTAATTACTACATATTTTCTACGCTCACAATGTTTGCCAGCTCGCTATATAATCAACTTAAATCAGTTATATCTATCATGCAATGCATTTCCTTCCAATTTTTTGTGATAAACTAATAGATAATTGACTAAATAAACATCCAGCAAAGTTTCAATAAAAATTTCCAAGTTTTTCTTACAATTTCCGTGGTTTTTATTCAATTTTTATCGATATCAATAATATCCCGATATTTCCATTGAAATTTCCGTGTTTTTAGACTTCCGATATTTCCGATATTATCGATATTTTATATCTTGGCCGCGAGGCACAACTTGGTGCATTTGATTTTCAATGTGTATGGAAATCAACAGCCAAGATTAATCCAACAGTAAAAAATTAAAATAATTTTGTTTTTGAATAAATACCGAACCATCTTCTTTCACCACATCACAACTCAATATATTTTTATTACAATCTCATATTTGCTTTCTATTTTCCAAATCCTTTTGTTTCCAAAGAAAAATAGGTGAGAAGACAAATTGGTCGAAAAGGAAATACGTTACTTTGCTTGACACGTGGTGAGACAAGAGTTGTTGAAAATCTTGTCGGAAATCTAAAGTAACAATGGCATACGAAAGACAAGACCAACAACGAATTGAGTTACACAAAAGCAATTACGGTTCAAAATGAATAGTAAAAGCAATTCAACCATCTTGCTCTTAACCTTCCCTAACATTATGTTTTGACAAGGGAAATAAACTTAGAATTTTGGTAAAAGTCAGAATTTATAAATTAACATGCATCAATACCCTTGTTTGGATTCATAAACTTGAAAATTTAGAATTTTCGCGCGGAAAAAAAACTTGGAATTTAGGACCTTCAATTCCCAAGTTCAAATTCTATGTAAATATGTGTCATTTCCCAACTTCTATAATTTAGAATTTAAAAATAACAAATTCAGTATTCAATTTCATTGTTCTTTTGTAGATACGCACACACTCAAAAGTCGATCACAAAACTCACTACATATACATGCGGCAATCTCAGAGTCCCACTGCCGACCCGACAAACACTCAAAATTCGAAATTTGAACTTGCGCTCCTCCTCCTGTTCCTCCAGGTGAACTGAAACCCCCAAAATTCAAACACACAACAGAAACAAACATCAGAAAATCAGAACTCGTCATCTGATCTGGTCCCAATCCCAAATGGCCGCGGCCAACTCTTCTGATCCCTCGATTCCCTCCACTCCTCCTCTCCCCGCCCCTGCTCCTCCACTCTCCTCCGTACGCCCGCTCCTCTTTCTTTATTCTTCCCATTTATTTCTCTTTATTTTGTATTTTCTTTTTTATCTATCTTTTAAAAATGTTTTCAACGTGGAATAATAATTTTGTGTGATTGCAGAGCAAGGAGAATGTGACCCCGATTGGCTCCAAGCTTGCGGTAACCTTTTCTTTTTGTTGCAATTTTTATTTTGTTTTTATTTTTATGTATTTTGTTTAGGGTTTTGAGAATTCTTATCGAAAGAATTTGAAAAACCCAGATTGTGATTTTGTGTTTAAAGCTGTGTTTAATGTGGTCCACCATGTTATGTTTGTTAATAGGAATTGAATGAATCGAGGTCTGAGCTACTTGGTAGAATTCAAGGGTTGAAGCAGGTTAAACAACTGACCACTACTTTCTCTCATCCGATCATGGAATGGTGTTTGTGCCTAATTATCTTGTTTACTGATCTGGGTAATTAGGATTTGCAAAGTTGGAGGTCAAAGTTAGACACTCAAGTGAAAGTCTATCGCGACGTAAGTGTTTATATACATAATTTTTTTATAGACTTGAACATGCATTTGGATTCAGTTTATAGTTAATCTTGGTGGGATGATTTGTTTTTGCTAATGTATGTGTGGTTAATGTACGATTTGGGTGCCTGTTCTTTGGAAAGTAAGATGATTTAGTTGGAGAGTTAATTCAATTGAGGTCTTTCTTTGATCACTGAATCAAAGTTTACCAAAAGTTTTTTTTTATATGCATTTTAATAATTAGCTTTTGGAATTCTTACGTTTACTGTCTTAGTTGATGATGTTTTGTGTTGTGTTTAGGCGTGCGTAGAGAGAGGGGGTGGGGAGGGGCGGGGGTCGAATCGGTGTGATTCAACTTTTAACCTGTTGAGAACACTTACAAGTTACATCAACAAACCATTTCCTTTGTTCATATTCTGAAACTCGGACAAAACCACAACTGTTGGTGCTTCCCATTGATTCTTGATATCCATAAATCACATATTTCTGATGTATAGAAGGTGATTGAAATGGCCAAAAGTACAGAAATTGGGTTGTGCTTCAAACTTGGATGCAAATAGTAAATACGAGTAAGCTTTGTTGAATGTGTTTTTTCATTACATCGAGTCTCTCTTCTGATTGGATTGGAGCTAAAATTTGTTTGCTCATACTTGTATTGCTTTCTTCTTGCAAGTGTTGACCATGTTCAACTCTTGATGTCTCTTCCTTAATGCAGGAGCTTTCAGAACTCAAGAAATCCCTCAACACCGAAGTGGATCAACTTCGATCTGTAAGATGTGCTCCAGCAATCAATCTTTGTCAGATTTCACTTTGAAATGTGATAGTTTACGCTAACATAAGTCATTGAACTGAAAATAGGAATTTCAAGAACTGAGGACCACTCTTCAGCAGCAGCAAGAGGATGTTACAACTAGTCTTAGAAACTTGGGGGTATGTTCTCATACACTGCTTAAGGGTGTGTCTTTCTGAGTTAAAAAAAGTTAGTATAAGAGCTGGATTAACATCTTATTAATTTCTGCAGCTGCAGGATGTCTCAGGAGAGAAAAAAGAAGCCCAAGATACCGAAGAACCAAATGCTTCAACCAAGGTGGATGAAGCCAAAGAAGCCGAAAGCTAGATTGATTTTTCCTCAGAGCATGCATGGCACGCGTTCATTCCTGAGCAAAATCTGATTCTTCGCGAATCTGTAATTTGTTATGGTGGTTTAGTTAAAATTTGCCACAACCTTGTTGACTTGCTTAACGCACAACTCTCTTCTAAATAAATTATGTAGAATTTTGCTTTAAGTACCGATTTGGTACTGAGTGTTTTTATAAAAGTTGGTATAAAAAAAAAGTTGAACCCAAAAAAGTATTTGGTAAACACTTAAAAACAGTTTATTTTCAATTATGGGTAAAAAAAAAGAAACTGAAAACGTGAAGTAGCAAAAATGAGCATATTCTCATACCATAGCCAAAATAGTTTCTTTTTTTCAAAGTACAGCAATATCAAACAAGCCCAGTATAGCTTTCTCTCAGTTTTTCTTCTCTGCTCTCGTTTGTGCTTCCCCGTTATTAATACATCCAATGTGAGATGATTACTCTTGTTTTTGGAATGTTTAATATATTATTCTGATTAAACATTTTCCTACCAAAATGTATGTGTTAGAGAAATGATCCAGATGACGACATTGCTCGTGTTATCATGAGTGATGCTGTCACGGAGATTGCTATCGGCAAGGTGCTTACCATCGGATTCTCTTCTGGTGGTAGCATATAAGTGTATACAATATGCTGGTTTTGCTGCCATCTCATGGTTTTTCGATTTGGCTCTTAAAAGATATGATGCTCTCTTCTTCACGCGCTAACGTAAATTTTTTATTCTCTGATGTGAAATATCTGGCAGCTCTTATGGTGGTGGTTAAAGGATCTGTATTTGACTGAAATGAATTGTCCATGTCCTCAGCTAGGCTAAATGCTCATCACGCAAGCTAAAATTTAATATATGAAGTGGGAAAGTTTCTGTTTATTTCTTTGGGGTTCTGTGTATATATCCAAATTTGTTGTATATATACTGCCCTCTTCGTACTGCTGCACATACCACTCCAAAAGCCAAACTAATTTAGTATTTTTTTATTTATTTTTTTTTTCTTGAGGGTTACGGTTGTTTGAGAGGGAAAGGCCAGAACTTGAATTCAATATGCATTGGGAAGCAACAGATCTATCATGGAGACCTCTCACAAATGTGAATTGTGATCCATAAAGCCTGTAGTTTGGGTTAAGATGCTGTTTTTGATTAAGTTCCACCTTAATCCAATTTGATCTTCACTTTTTGAACGTGACTGTCACACCATCGTGTGATGCTATCAGTTCACTTAATGGTTATTTATTACTAAAAATAAATCTTGGATCCGTACAATATAAACTATGTCAATTTATTCATTATTCTCATTATAATCCGGTATAAATATTTAGACTCTTTAACATTACTCTTATTATAATGTCCAGATTAATAATAACCAATAGGGGTGGGTTCAAAAAACCGAAAACCAAAAAAAACCGAAAACCAAACCGGACCGAGGCCGAAAAAAACCGAACCGAAAAAAAAACCGAACCGAAACTGTCAAACCGAACCGAACCGAATATGACCAGTTCGGTTTCGGTTTTTGAGGTTCGAAAACCGAACCGAACCGAACCGAACTGAAAAATATATTTAATTATTGTTTTCTTATAAATAGTTTAGTCATACAATCATAACAAAATTGAAACTGTTGCTAAGTTGGTTTTAGTAAAGCTTTTCAAGCTGGAGTGCATGGGTTCGAACCCTCATGCCTCCAGGATTTTGGATAATTTTTTTTTTTTTTATGAGAAATCAACAAAAACTCTTTAAAGTTTAACCCTAGCCACTGTAGTAGCCGCCGCACCTCACCTTTTCTATTTTTCATTCATCTCCTCTCTCTGTCTCATTCCCTGCCTCCAAACTCTCTCCATGTCCATGCCTCCAATTTCTCCATTTTTTCTCCATAACCCGCATCCTCCTTTCTATTCCAAGCTTCATATTTGTGAGACCCTCCATGTCCATGCTTCCAATTTTTCCATTCTTCTTGATTCTTCTCCAAATCAACAAAAACTCTTTAAAGTTTAACCCTAGCCACTGTAGTAGCCGCCGCACCTCACCTTTTCTATTTTTCATTCATCTCCTCTCTCTATCTCATTCCCTGCCTCCAAACTCTCTCCATGTCCATGCCTCCAATTTCTCCATTTTTCTCCATAACCCGCATCCTCCTTTCTATTCCAAGCTTCATATTTGTGAGACCCTCCATGTCCATGCTTCCAATTTTTCCATTCTTCTTGATTCTTCTCCATAACCCGAATCCTCCTTCTATACCAAGTGCGGCGATGATCATGGCCTGGCTATCCATTTCCCATTTCACCACGGGCATCACTGCGGGGATAATAAGATTGAATGCAATGGGAGATATGAAACGGTTCTTGACCACCCAAAAAAGTACTAGTAAAATTCCTTGTCAAACGCATAGATTACAAGTATCAGGAAATCGAAGTACATCACCCACATGATTGCATGCTGTTGAAGCCTTTGGAAATCACCAATACGGTAATCTCTCCCTTCCACTTCCCAGATGGCGTACGTAATGTTACCTTTCCATGTCGATCCTTCATATTTGTGAGAAGAAACTTCTTGCCTTTCCTGGAACAAATTTCCACGGCTATCTATTTCCATGACAGTAATTATTTGTTCGATTGCAGATTTGTATTGCATATTTGTTCAATTTTTGTGTTGTGGGTTTGTTAGTTATTTGAATTTCAGATGAATGAATGTAATTATTGCTGTGAGTTGTGGATTAAGATAGTATTTTGATGGATTATGTGCTTGTGTTGTTCTTGGTGTTGCAGACTTGCAGATTTGTTTCTTTCCAGATTCATTTCTTTACCAATTTCCAGATTTACTTGTTTATCAATTTTCAGATGGTTGCCGGAGCTTGCTTTGACGGCGGCAAGGGAATTAAGTGGCTAGGGTTTTTAGTTTCTTTCCTTCTTTTTCGAGCTCAACCATTGGGTTGGGTTGTTGTGCTGGCCCATTTTTTTTTTGTTTGTGTTTAGTTGTGGGCTTTTGTTATGTATGTAAGTTTACCTTTTATAAAAAAAAAATTAATAAAAAACAAACAAAAAAACCGAACCGGGCCGAAACCAAACCGGAAAAAACCGAACCGAAAAAAAACCGAACCGAAAAAAACCGAAAAAAATTTGAACCGAACCGAAATTTCGGTTCAGTTTCGGTTTTGGCAAAAAACCGAACCGTTTCAAACCGAACCCAGCCCTAATAACCAATACCGACCGTCACACTTAAAAAATCTCATTAATTGCCTAACACTGGTTTTTATGCAATGATATTTTGTATTAGAGTTGGACCAAGTCACACAATAAGGCAAAAATAATAATTTGGTATAGCACTCACTATTATGCAAGTCAAGCCTACAACCTCTCACACATAAATTAAGAAAAATATCACTAAACCACAACATTAATGTCAAAACAACAACTGTTTGAGAGACTAAATTTGTAAATAAAAATAGTAAAAAATTAATTAACTATTTTTTTAAGTAAAATACATTTTAACCACTGTGTTTCTCCTCGATTTGAACTTTGCTCACTGTAATTTTTATTTTTGACAATCTAATCACTGTATTTTTATTTCTTTTACTACTAATTTTATTGCAAGTGTTTACACCACAACGATTAACTCGCAGCAAAACAAAGTCAAGAACATTTTATAAACTCTTAGACTTCCAAATTTGGAGTATCTTACTTTTATGCAATGCATATTTACAAAGTTCAACAAGCAATCGATATTTTAGGATCAAATGTGTTATTTGTAGTTGTCACTGGAAACCTCGACGTCCAGACCCTCATCAAGAATTTTATTGCAGGATGATTTCAAACTGTGAATCCAGTTGTGTTTGTGGCTAGAATTTCCATCGGGGATGTCTCCTAGCCGACGAGCACATAGCTCCTCGAGAGGTTGGCGCCGATTGATGCTTTCTGTCGGGCTTCTGCTTCACTGGCGGGCTTGCCGGGCAAGGCTGAAAGAGAAGGACATAGTTAACTTTGAAAGGTGCCTTTGTGGGGCCTTAGGTATAGGCCTTGAGGCTCACAATCAAGATTAACTTTTAAGTGCTCAGGCGTGTCACTGCCATCTTTAACATGATAGATGTAAAATGGATGTTGAGTTTTAGTTGTACATATACCCGAGAGGCCGTGTTAGTTATGACAGGTGCCTTTGTGGGGCCTTAGGTGTAGGCCTTGAGGCTTCCGATCAAGAACTAACTCAGTACTCGACTATACGATGTCTGTTTTATTGTTTGCAGAAGTGTTATAACCATTATACTTCTGATTATCCGAGTCCGCAGAGCAGAATGAACCTAAATAGGTGCCTTTGTAGGGCCTTAGATATAGGCCTTGAGGCTTCCCATCAGAATTCCTTCTATACTCAAACGTTCTACTATAATCATAATATAATAGAAATAAAACTAAGAGATAGATCGATTACTTGCGCCCCAAGTAACTTCGGACTTCTTGTTATCAAAGCTTGTCGTGGATGGGTTAAGTCCACATAAGGTTCTTTTTTATGCCTTGAGGCCAAGGACTTTTGAATGATCAATCTTACATGCCCGAAAGCTTAGAACTTAGATCTGGTTTGAACTGTGAAGACATATTCAAATCGGATTCAAAAACTAAGAGAGTCTTTTAATCATCATCTTACTAGAAATAACTTGAATACAACTGGAAGTATATAACATATTGCTAGGCTAATGAATGAAAAGACAAAAACAAAGCGGGTCGGGCAAGGCTGATTTGTCTTGCAACTTCCTATCTTTGTTGTTTATCAAGGGGTTTGAGAGCTTTAGAAAATGAGGTAGAGAGTTGAGTTTGCAGAAAGAAATCGATACTACAACAAGCTTAGGACAAGGTAGCAGAGCTATTACAAAGGCTTTTGGTGAGGGTTTATCCCTAAAGGGATGAAGGCTTGGGCTGACTACAGCTTCGTTTGAAGGCAAATCTGGCTTTGAGCAGAGTTTGTGCTTGTATTTGTTTGTTTGATTGAGTGTCCTTATCTCTGATTTCTCTTTCTTCTTTTATAGACACTTCGGTTTGGCCTTCTGTAGCAGAAATCTTGCCCGAATGCAGCTTGAAGGATAATGACTCATCAGCTATTTACTTGTACTGCCACTGTAAAGTGCTTTTGGGCTGATTAGCTGGCTGGTCTATACCACTTGGTCTCTAGGCTG